GTCATAGTACTCAAGCTCCTGTGTGCACATATGAATACACATAAGAGATGACCAATCCATCCCCAACATGGGGAAGTATCAAAACATCTAAAAGTAGGTGCATATCTAAAAGCTTTGCAATGACTATGGAGAAACACTGCAGAAGAATATTGCCATAGAAATAAGACTCAAATACAAACAACTAAAGAATATGGTTGATTTATACTTTTCAGAACTAAATACTTTTGTACTCAGTAGTCAATACGGAGTCAAGAAAGACAAAAGAAAATTCTCAGGCTGGGAGAAGATGCTCTGTACTGTCTACCAGACAGGCAACTATATCAGACTCTTTAAGGAGTGTAAAAGCTCCATATGAACAATAGCACAAATAAACTTGGGAAAAATCCAAATTCCAATAGGTATGTGTAATATAATGTATACATTGTTGTCAATGAGGAAATCTATAAAATTATGTTGAAAACAATCTAAGAATGAAGCAATAGGGACTCGCGCTCATGAAGAGAAAGAAAGATGGACTATGGAACAGGTAACCTATGATTCAAGTGTGAAGACTGGAGGTTGCCTCCCTAGAATTCACATAAATTTGCTAGAGATTTAGACCAGCTGAACAGGCCAGCGATGTTTCCAAGTGAAAGACCTACCTCAATATATAATATATAAAGACATTGTGGAAGGCACTTTATGTAAGCTTCTGGCTTGGTATCATATGAGCATGCACACTCACATATACACACAGAGAGCCAGTTCTTCCCAACTGGATCTATAGATTTAATGTGATCCCCAACAGAATCCCAAATAGGTTGGTTATTTTGTGTAGTTTAACAAACTAATTCTAAAGTTTTCCCCCCCACCCAATTGCCTTTCCAGTGCTATGCAGAACAGAAATGGCAAAAGTTGGCATCATTACCTTATTCTGTATCTTTGAGGAAGGCTCCCTACTATTCTTTGTTCAGTATGGTGCTAGGTGTGGATTTGTTACGTGTCTTTACTGTGTTAAGACTCATTCCTTCTGTGTTCAATTTTGAGAGGTTTTCCTTTATCATGAAAAGGCACTGAATTTTGTCACTTATTTACCAGAATCTATTAAGATCTAATAAAACTTAATGCTAATTGGTTGGTTCTGTCTTGTATTATGTTAATGTGGTGATCATTTTATATGTGCTATCCCACCCCCATAGCCCAGGGGCAAAGGGCACAGGACTGTGGTGAATGCTGTTTCTATGTGTTGTTGAGTTCTGTTGGGTATTGGTCCCTTGAGGGTTTCCTCATCCCTCTCCATTATGGATTCTGTTCTGCTCCTTCCTTTTTTTTTAAGTACCCAAGATAGTTCTCTCCTCAGAGAACGAGTTTAGAAATCTCCTAGTTGAAAATGTTTCGATCTTTTGAAAAGAATGAGTGTAAATGCTTCTTGAAGTGTTTTGTAGACTTTGGCTGTGAAACCACAAGGCCCTGGCCTTTAGCAGAAAGGAATGGGGTGCTGGTAAATGCTATGGTGTAGGTAGACCTCAAAAACATCATGTCAAGTGAAAGATGCCAGAAACGAGAAGTCGAATATCACACGAATTCATTTACATGAAATGTCCACACAGGCAAGTCCAAAATCAGACGAGTAGTGTATAGGTAGGGAATTGAAGGTGACAACATAATGGGTATGACGTTTCCCCTGTGGTTAAAAAAATTCCAGAGTTAGATAATAATGATGATATATGTATGTATGTCTAGATATATGTGTGTGTATCCATATCCATATATATATATATATATATCTCAAAAGTCCACTAAATTGTTCACTTTGAAGTGAATTTTGTTACTTAAATTTGCATTAATTTTAAAAATTTAAATGCTGGAATCATATATTGGCATGAGAAAACATATTTACCCATGAAAATAATGTTATCAAACACTGTTGACTTTAATCATCCAGGTTCATTAAAACTAATCTAGCTCAATAGGTAATTACAGAGACATTTACCATCAAGCTGTCTTGGGAGTCAAGCCAGTCTCAGCAACCACAGTGATCTACTCTCAAAATAAAAATAGAATAGGAATTTCAATCAAATAATCAAGGGACCAGTCTTGTCTAGTGGGGGTCTACACCCAGTGTCTGGATTTGGATTTAGTTATTGAACTTGTTATCTTGGCAAAGTCTTTCTTTTAATCTTTCTGTCCTTCCTTCCTTCTTCCTTCTTCCCTCCCTCCCTTCCTTCCCTCCCTCTCTTCCCCTCTTTCTTACATTTTGTTTGTCTAGTGTCTGTCTGAGTATATGCGTGTGTACTTGTTCATGTCACGATTCATATATGGAAGTTAGAGGACACCTGTCAAAACTGGTTGCTTTTCTTCCTTCATTGTGTGGGTTCTGGAGCTCAAATTCAAATCCCCAGGCTTGGCAGCAAGCACCCTAACCTGCTGAGCCATCCCACTGGCTCGATTTTCATGATTTCTGAGGGTTAATATTTTGTATCTACCTACTAGGGTCTCAGGGACACTGGCATATGGATTGTACTCACTAAATATTAACAGACAGAACATGATCTTACTATCACCCTTCATGTTACCTTCCCATGAGCCTTAGTTCTACTCCCCAAAATATATTCAAAATCATCCCCCACAAATTATTTTTCTATAATTATTACCATTTACTTTGCTGATGATAACACATCTCTTTCTTTAAAATGAACCACATGAAAATAAGTTTGATTTCTTGATTTTTTTTTTTTTTTTACATCCAGTCAACACAAAAACCAGCTAATGCTGACCTTATCTCTGTAGAAAAAGGAGAAATATGTTGCTATAAAAACTTAAGGAAAGAGTCTAGAAAAGTAAAATTACTTGTATCCAGGTGGTGGGGAAATGGCCATATTGATTTTTGTAACAGTGAACACATATTTAATGTCACTATGTACCAGCTAAAGAGCTAATGCTTTTACGAGTATTATCTCCTTCAAATCAGTCATTAAAATTGTGTCTTTCAGGCTAGGGAGATGGCTCAGTGTGTAAAGCACTGAGCTGCATAAGCAAGAAGACCCGACTTTGAATCTCCAGAAACTACTGAAAGCCAGGCAGAATGCACTCCTACAGGGAGATGGGGGCAGAGACAAGAAAAAGCCCAGGAAACTCAGCTAGCATGGCCCACACAGAAATAACAGAGACCCTGTTGCCAACAAGGTAGGAGAAGACCAACAGCTGGGGTGGTTCTCTGATCTACATACATGTACTGTGGCACACATGGGCCTATGTTCACATACACTGCACAATGAAAGAAATGTGCTTTTCTAATTTTCCAAAATTTCTACAAAAATGTATTCTGTATTTAATTTTGTGTAAACCTATACTCACAGAAGTGGACCTCATTATGATCAAAGTCAACACACTGGTAATTCTACCAACTACTGCAGTAAAATGTTGAAAGAGTTGAAGATGTATTACCTGAAAAGAGAAAGCTCAGGGTGAGTTAGACGTGATAGCTGCCTTCCAATGTTTCAAAAACAGTCTGTGGGAAGAGAAATCCAACTTGGTCTCTATGACCATTTTCAAATGTGAACTATAGTCTACGAGGGAAAATTCTAAAGTTTTTTTGCTTTATATAAGAATGTTCTTTCAAAAATATTCTTTCCCATATGGTAATTCACCCAAATTAACAAACACTTAGGATGCATGTGCCCAGAAGATGATGACGTTGAAGGAAATTTTCAACTCTGGGATGTTTATTTAGTTCTGAGTTTATATTAATGCAGATTAAGCAGAGAGAAGAGCCAAACCATCACAGACACCACACACACGTACACACACAGAGAGAGAGACAGACAAACGGATAGACACACATGCACGCATATTTGCACAGCACACACACACAGAGAGAGAGAGAGAGAGAGAGAGAGAGAGAGAGAGAGAGAGAGAGAGACAGACGGACAGACAGACAGACAGAAGAATAGATAGACACCAGACACACAGGCACAGGAATGCTCGCATATGTGCTCAATACACACATACACAGACACAGAGAGAGGGGAGAGAGAGAGAGGGAGGGAGAGAGGGCTTCTTTGTGTTATTATCTCAATGCAGTTTTCATACTGTTATTAAAAACCAATGAAGTAGCTTCTAGATGCAAGAAAAGGCCCGGGTATATAACAACGAGAAAGGTGACATGACTCAGGACTTGTTTCTATCTGCTATTTTTCTCCTCGTCCAGGTTGGTTTGCACTATCCTTCTTCAGTTTCCATGGTCTCCAGACTCTAATCCGTTTGTGTAATTGATGCTCTCTTGCCATGAGATTCAATCCTGTCCCCATCTGTGCCACCAACAGCCACAGGCTTCCTTATCCTTGAGTTGCTTAATTTTGCAGAATCTTCAAGTGGTTCATTTTGATGAGAACTAAATATTTCCGATTCTGTTTCATTTCTAGCCCTCCTTTACCTTTGGAATACAAGCCTCCCATTTCCTAGCGTTCCATTCCCTCACACAGTAGGATTCTTGGAAAACCCTAGTCCTCTGTCCCTAGGTCTGATGGCTGTGAGTCCAGCCTTGGCAAAGCTGGGAAGCTGGCTTAGGGCTCTTTCAGTGATAGAGGAAGGGCGCACTCACGGCCCCAGCCAGAGGGCGCCAGCACCCACCAAGCATAGCTGCTCTTGAGTACTCAAGAGTGGCTTCCAGACAGTTCTCCAGTTAGCTAGCCAGAGGTCGACCTGTAAAAAAAAAAAAAAAAAAACAATCTCCCAGTCCTGCCCACCACAGTTTGCCCATTTATGCAGATTCTTAGCTCCAGGAGCGACACCCCCACCTCCGCCCAGCCTTGACCCTCAAAAAAGGCCCTCACCCGGGCAGTGACCCGGGAGTCTCTTCTTGGACAGGCAATGCCTTTGGTTGGGGGACAAGCGTCTGTGTCAGATTGCTGCAAAGGGTGAGCTCGCCCCGCAATCCGTAGAGGGGTGTGCAGCTGAGCGCAGGGTGGGAGCCCAGAAGGTGGAGGTGGATGGGGGACCCAGAAGGTCGCCTGGTCAGGAGGGAGGCGACCAGAGGAGGCCAGGCAGGGGCTTTGGCTTCCCTGGGGTCTGATTGGAGGTTGGCCCGATGAGTCGGAGCTGGGGGCGCGCCCATCTCCACTGGCTAGGGCGAGAGCCGCCGGCTCGGCCCCTCCCCGGAGCCGCTTTGTCCCCGGTGACGGCGGCGGTGGTTGCGGGAGCACCGGCAGGAGGCACAGCTCGAGTGACCCCGCGACCCGGAGAGCGGGAGGCGGCGCGCAGTGCGCACCGCCCCACGCCCAGGCCCGCGGGCACCGCGCTCGCCCCGCCGTCAGGTGAGCAGGCAGAGCCGCGCCCGCAGCCTTCCGCCCCAAGGACCCCCGTCAGCCGCCACTGTCACCGCCGCCACCGCGGTGCATCGAAGACGCCCTGCAGGTCGGTTACGTAAGGGCGCAGGCCCTATCGTCCCTGTACCCTGTCCCACCAGGGCTGAACGCCTGGGTGCCAGGGAACCTGGGCAGTGGGAATCAAGCACCGCGGGGTTTAGGGGCAAGGCTGGAGCAGCTGGAGAGACCTAGTGGCTAGTCCCCGAAGCATCCCTGGGGACAGGTCTCCCATGGCCCCCTCTAGGAGGCGCTCATCTCCAAGGAGCCCCCTCCCCATCCCTACCGGCCAAGGGACCACCTTCACAGGTGCAGCAGCAGGTGCATAGGATTTGAGAATTCAGAATAACTCCAGTAACCCCGAGATTTGGGCTTAGAGAGGGAGTCTGGGGGAGACTAAAAGCTCAGAGAGCAAAGGAGAAAATAAGGAGACCCCTGTCTTCCCAAGCTTGGCCAGATTTGTTAGGGAGGGAGAAAGGGGTTTTTGGGCACAGCTGGCTGAGAATTGTCCTGCCTGGGCTTAGCCGGCTTGGGTCATCTAAAAATAACTTCAAGTTTGAAAAGTGCCATGGACAGGAGCGTGGTGTGCCGGGTTCGTCGTGCCTGTCGGGTTCTTCTCTCCAGAAGTCATCAGAGGGAACAGGGCAGTCTCGGCCACCTGATCCATCTCTGCTCCTTCTGGATCCCGTTGGTTTCCAGGGTGCCTCGGTTTGACTTTTGGTTAATGATTTATTCCCCCAAGGCCTTTCCATCTTTTTTTTTTTTTTTTCTTATCTGAGATGGATTTGAGCAGACGACATGCTTCGACTCTTTCTCTTTTTCTTGCGCTGGGGTCCAAGTGGTCAGCAGAGGACTATCATACCCACTGACAAAGCTATTATTTCAATATCTCGCCTTAGCAAAAACAACAAAAGTGTTTCTTGTTTGTCTGTAATTGCGCACTCCTATGATTTCCCATGGATGGAAATGAAAGGATGTGCAAGCATTCCTTAGTCAGAATCCGTGTATAGAAAGACTTTAGGAAAAGTGAGGGATTTTATAATACAACTTATTTTTCACACCTCCGTTGTCCTTAATTACAATAAGTTCAAAATATAGGACAAGAGGGTTGTGGCCATGTGGTAGATCTTGCTGACCAGAATCTGGGTCCTATGATATCATGAAGTTAGACATGGACAGTAGGTAGGATGAGTCAAGAAGCAGGTGAGCCTGAAATGTAGGTTGCAGGACTGAACACTGCACAGCTTCTCAGTATCCACATTGATTTCCTTTTAACCTTAAGGAGCTATCACACCACATATGGAAAGTCATCGAGCTCACATAGCCTGAAATGGGGGGCTGTGCTTGGCTTTCCTTGCAATCCACTGCAAATTGAACTGGTGTTTACTGAGCAACTATTACCTGAGTCTGGTCCAGATGATGTGGGGAGGGAGACGTGCCCTCAACCAAAGTGCCTAGACTCTAAGATCTCTGAAAATGCTTAGTGTGTGCATGACCTTCACAAGCCACTGGGAGAATACAGCTTTCCCCAGTGAGGGACGGTTACCAGAAGTGGGAACTCGAGAGCTTTCTCATTTGCAAGTACTCATCACACTTGCATAACTGTTTGCAGATTGTCAGGTGCATTGCAAGGACTGGCATTCTTTTTTTATCAAGGCCAACTTTGGAAGTGACCAAGGTTGCATTTTCCCGCGTCTTAAATTCTTTATGCCAGTTGATCGAGCTGCTGTTTATTAAGTACCTACTGTATGCTATGCAGGCTCTGTGCTAGGAGCTAAACAAACAAAAACGAGGTCCTATACTTCCCAGAAAAGGTTCTAGCAGAAAATAAATGCTAGGGCATTAGCACCGCAGGCATTTAATGCAGAAAAGAGCGAGGTCAGTGGGAGCCAAGAGATGGGAGAGTGGAAGGAATCTAGAAGAGTCTGCCAGAGAGTACACATTTGGACGGGGTCCCAGTGGGTGGTTGGCATTCTCTGGAGAAGCCACTAGACATTCTGTGTAGAAAGAAAGGTTATGTTCAAGAGCACCTAGTTATGAGATGGCAGGGTAACACAGCCAAGGAGGCAATGGTGACCTGGAGCTTCCGAATGTATTCTATTGCAGAGGAGAAGTCCTGCAGCCTTTGATAGGAGAAATGATTTCATCTCATTTACATTTTGCAAAAGTGACTTTGGAGGACAAGGGAAGGAGGGCTACGAAGTGCAAACTCAGATGGTAGGCAAGTGGCCTGGGTGAGATCTCTCCACTTCTCTCCAAGTTATGAAGGGTGCATGAAGCAGGTACTGGGGGGCAAGCAAACCAAAATCTACAGAGAACCTTTCTGGGCAGATAAGTGGCACTTTGTCACCAGGTGTGGACTGGTGAAGGAGGAGGAGCTTCGATGTGTGGAGGCATGGTCAAGCTCTAAGTGAGGTAAGGCACTGATGATGAGGTTTTGGAAGGATTGTGGGCTTTTCTTTTGACTATCCAAACAAGGCAGCGGCTTTTTCATTCTGGAACTAACTGCCTACAACCGTAGCTTTACTTCATCCCTGAGGTTATCAAGTGTTGCCTGTGGGGGAGAGGGAGGCAAATCCTCTCGGTGGTAGGATATTGTCTCTGTCTTTAACCCCCAAAGAGAAAATTTTAACTCTATTATTTGAATCCTGCTAATGGTAATAATTAGAATGTGTGGCATCTATTCCATGCTTGTGGTTATCACCGGGTAACCTGCAGCTAACCTTAGGTGTAATCGTCCAGGAAACCAAGGCTAAGAAATAATAGGTTATCTAGAGCACACAATTGGGAAGAGATGTACCCAGTGTTAGAGCCCAGGTCCTGAGCAGCATCGTCAATCATCAGTGTGAATTGATAACATTGCAACAATCCCTGTCCTATGTTTGGATACTTGCAGCCAGTGCTGCAGCAGAAGACTAAGCTGGTCAGGAGTCTCAGCTCTTCCCTAGAACCTGCGCTTGATATATACACGCAGTGAAACCTTTACAATCTCACATCCTTTCTCAGGCTTGGGCTATTTTAGTTTATTTTGAAATTTATTGTTTTTAATGTGTGTGTGTGTGTGTGTGTGTGTGTGTGTGTGTGTGTGTGTGTGTACACTTCTGGGGTGGCTACAGAGGTGAGAAGAGAGATAGGGATTCATTGGAGCTAGAATTACAGGCAGTTGTGAGCTGCCTATCAGGGTGGGTGCCAGGAACTGAACATGGGTCCTCAGGAAGAAAAACAAGCTCTCTTAACTGCTGAGTTATCTTTCCAGGCTGTGTTATTTTGTATCCATGTAGTAATGGCAGAAGAGATTGGCTCTGTACTGTAGGTTGTCTCTGTCCTGTAGTCCTCCATCCTGTTCTAGGTTTGTCTCCTAGTGCTGCAAATCTGTGCTGAGTTCATATCTGCATGGGTACCTTGCTCTTAGTGGTTTGGTATGGCATAATTAGAAGTACAGAGGGTATAGGAGTGTCTAATATTGAGAGAGCCCAGTTAAAGAGGAAAAGCCTGCGTGGGTACCAAATTAGAGGACCCTCCTATAGTCAATGATACCCTTCTTTACTTTAGACATGTTACTTAGAGCCTGAATGTTTCTTCATCATGAAAAAAAACTGAAGAAATTAGTAAGCATATAATAAGGTAGCTATGGAAACTGAAGCATAACAGGAACCAGGTGCTGCATAAAAGTTGGCCTCATTGGAAATACTCTAGAACTTTGGCCACACCCTTCATCCCTAGGACAACAGATGCCTAGAAAGTAAAATCAAAGTGTGTGTGAAGAAGTTTTACTATTCTGTAGTGGTTTGCTTAAAGTTATGTGTATATTTGTGTATGTATGTCCATGTGTGTGCAGGAGCATGTATTCATGTATACATAATTTGGAGGCTAGGTGGCATCCTCAGGAATGTTAACTGCCACCTTTGAGATAGGACCTCTCTCATCAGCCTGGGGCTAGACTGGTGAGTCAGTGAGTCACAGGGACCCTCCTGTCTCCATCTCCTTGTCCTGGGATTACAAGTGCATGCTACCACACTGGTATTTACTCACCTTACAAGTTAAAACATCTCCCTAGTGTCCCTACTATGACGTTTCTTAAAATGTACCCCTTCATTGAGTAGTATCTATCATAGGAAGCTTACTGAAATGAGGAACACAACACGCACGCACACACGCACACACACACACACACACACACACACACACACACACACACACACACAAATGCCTTCCAACATGTGACCCAAAAAAGATACAGAGTGACTCTGTTTACTGTGGAGCCTGGCCTGTCTTTCATTTTTCCTAATTCATCATTGCTTTGCTTCTAAAATGCTTATTGTCCTTGTTTTATTTTTGCCTTGTGCTATGGATTTCCAGGTGAGGTGTAGTGCAATGTTAACTTAATCAACCTAGTTAATGAGTCAAAAAGTCTTTTAAACTTAGCTGAAGATGATGTGACAAATAATGGATTCTGCTACTTTCTAGAAGTTAAAGGAGTACTTCCAGAAAGAGCTCACATTTCCCACAATCCATAATGTACATAGAAACATCTCCTATAACAGGGAAGGGAAGAGCTGTAATTTCTTGTCTGAGCAATCTTACGCAACTCTCTGTGAAACAATGGATAAAACAGAGTTTCTATGTTGTAGAGTGTGTGCACTAAAAGATATTTGAATGCTCATTGTTGAACCAAAGAATAAGTCGCATGAGTTGTGAATTAGACCCTACCTTTTAAAAACTGTTTCCTGAGTTATTTGAAGGAATAACTACTTTGTTCTAACAGATCTATTCTGCCACATTGTAAATATGTCAAGGCCATGGGCCACTCCAAAATGCCTCTCTTACAATGTTGGAAATGGGGTCTAAAAAGCTTGGACCTGCCTGGAAGGGCTAGGATTCCAGTCTTGGTACAGTTACTTCCCAGCTATGTGACCTTGAACTCGCCATTGGCTTGCAGTTGTGGGAACTGG